ATTTTTTATATTATATAACATTTACTTCGTATTCAAAGTTAGTAAAACTCATTCAAGCTTGTAGTATTACAAAAACAAATTCTTTGTATAAAGGAAATTTTTAAAGTAATTTTAACGATTATTGTATGAGAAAGTTTCTATCATTTTAAAAATGGATTGGTTTATCATATGTAGACATGGCTAAAAAAAAAATTAATACTTTGTTATTAAGTAATAAATCATAAAGACAGGCTCATAAATATAGAAATATACTAACCAGCTTCTTTGAGAGCTTCTGACAAAGTCTGAAATAAAGTGCACAGGGTTAAGACAGATTACAATGGCTTTTGCGATAAAATTAAAACCAACTTACCGGATGAGCGTGACATGTTCGTGCAATATCTTCACTACTTGCTCCATATTCCATAGCCAACACAGCTTCACCAATCATTTCTCCAGCATTGGGACCAATAATATGTACTCCCAAAATAGTGTCCGTTTCAGCATCAGAGATTATCTTAACAAAACCCTGTGTATCAAGATTGGTACGAGCACGAGAATTCGCAGCGAAAGGGAAATTACCAACACGATATGGTCTATCCGTTGCTTTTACTTCTTCTTCGGTTTTACCACACCATGCTACTTCAGGGTGTGTATAAATTACAGATGGTATCACATCATAATTAACATGGCCATGACCTCCAGCAATATATTCAACAGCAGCAATTCCTTAAAGATGATTAACGATTAACATGTTGAAATTAAAATACCAATGTAGTGATATTAATGTTTCAAACCTTCTTCCTCAGCCTTATGAGCTAGCATCGCTCCATATGTAACATCGCCAATGCAAAAAATATTGGATTTCGCTGTACGGAACTGAGAGTCAATTTTGATTCTACCTTTTTCATCAAGTTCAATACCCACATTTTCTAAACCAAGATTTTCTGTATAAGGACGTCGCCCAATTGAAACTAGAACTACATTTGCTTCCAACTTGATATTTCAGGACATAAAAAAAGATAAATAAAGGCAATGTTCGTAGAGATATCTTAATCAAATTTTTTAGTAATACATACGGTTTCTTTGGAACCTCCCTTCGCAGGTTCAACATTCACGAACACCTTACCACCCTTTTTAGAAGCATCAATAACTTTTGTACCCATTTTAAATTTAATGCCCTGCTTTTGAAGCATTTTTGAGAAAGACTTGCTGTCATTTACATATAATAAAATAAAGTAACTATAAGTTTCTACTTGAATAATAATCGGTGTTTTGAGACAGTGTTACATACGCGCACTCGCCGTCCATTCCAGCACCTATAGAATCAAGATATTCTACAACTGTCACGTCAGAACCTAAGCGTTTCCATACAGAGCCTAATTCAAGACCAATAATACCACCGCCAATAACAACCATTTTTTCTGGTACTTTTTCTAGTGAAAGTGCACCAGTCGAAGTGACAATTTGTTTTTCATCAATCTAATAATTTGTTTGTAAATATTCATCGAAAATCAAAGAGTATATTCAAACCGAATAAATAGCACAAACCTCTAAGCCTTTAAAAGGTGTTGGCTCTGATCCAGTAGCAATGATGATATTCTTCGACTTTAATGAAATTTTGTTACCATCCAGACCATCAACCTCAATTTCATTTGCGCTAACTAATCTACCATGACCTTTAACATAATCTACTCCATTCTTTTTGAATAAACTTTCAATACCCTTGGTTAGACCGGTAACAGCCTTATCTTTGGCCTTCATCATATTTTCAAGGTTTAACTTCACACCCGAAACTTAATTTAATGTAATAAATTTCATTCATTCATTAACAAGGACTTAATATATTTTGGTTTAAACAATTGCATACTAAGCGAATATTAACTTGCACGCAAGAATTCTGTACCAAGTTTTGTCGATCACAATCGACAAAATTTTTTTAAAAAAAAATTCTATTTCAAAATTTTGCCTATGAAACAACGTTTCATGCTCTAAAAAAAAGTCCTATAATTTTGGTATTTTGGTATAAACTTTATCTTAAATCTTCATCTAACTCTAACCTAACCATAACTTAGCTCTAACCTTAAAATCAGATTAATGCATGCTGATGTCGATCAATCTAAACCGAATGATCGGCACAGAATTCTTGCGTGCATTAATTTTTTATACAATTTACTCTCAATCATTTCTGAAATAAAATAAATGAATCTTTGGAATAATGATGACTCAACCTAAAGTTTAGAATTTCTCTAGTCATTGAATATTTCACCGATCAAACAGAATGGAAATAATCTTTCAATGACTATAGAAATGGCCTTCAAAGATTATTAGTAAATTTTCGGTACATACCATCAATTCCTCTAGATTCTAACTCATGTGTAGCTTGGTGATATATATGTGAATTATTCAACAAAGCTTTAGAAGGGATGCATCCAACATTTAGACAAGTTCCGCCGAGCGATCCCCGTTTTTCAACACACGCAGTCTTAAATAAATTATATCAATAAAACATATTAGGGGTCAGGTAATAACTTTAAGCAATCGCGCAAACCTTTAAGCCTAGTTGGGCTGCTTTTATGGCTGCGACATAGCCTCCAGGCCCTCCACCGATAACAACAGTGTCATACGCTGACGAAAAAAATTATTTGTTTATATTGTCTTTTACAATAAAAATATGAATTATGAATATTTATATATACCAGAGGTAGCAGCGTAAAACCTGCGACCAAATACCGCCAAAGGGGGAGTTCTGAGCCAGGTACGTACGTACATCACGAAATTAAACTAAAAATAACTAACGTTAACATTAAGGTTAGGGAGCTGTCAAATATTAGCTGATATTGTACAGTACCGGACGATAAAAACATCCACTATTTATAAAAAGAATAACTCGGACAAATAACTTTTAAAAAAAAAAATCTGTCTTACAGATTTGTTGCTTTTAGTTTAAGCTACAATTCTGTTAGAATAGATTTTTATTTTTTCTTATATAAGATTAAATAGCGACAACTCAAGGTATATATGCAATTTTTGAATCTACCTCAACAAAATATAGCCGACCAATCAAATTCAAGCACTAAAATTACAAGATAACGATAATCTAATATGTATAACTACGTAATGTACTCGATATAGGATAACTTTCTCGTGATTGGTCGTCACATGAAATTGAATAACACGTTATTATTGGCCAATTGTGAAAC